GATACCCGAAGGACTTGTCTTTAAGTTTAAAGACAGAAGAGAAAAGATAGACTCCATCTTCAAGGCTCAAGACTTTTTGAAGAGGCACGCCAGCTCAGAGGACGAGGCAGAACTCGCTAAGTGGATGGCAGGAACTAGCGAAGAAGACAGCAGCTCGGAGGGAGAGGTGAAAGATGAGAAAGACAAAGGAGCGGCTAGAGGGCCAAAATACAATTTAAGAGGCAAAAAAGGGAAGCACCCCAACGATTGAGAACTAGTTCGGAGAGCGCATTAAAAGACAATACTAACCCCAAAGGGACACTATTAACACACTAACTAACCGGTTTTGAAAGATAGCTGCAGAAGAATATTTTGACTTTGACTTTACTAATAAAAGATTAAAATACTAATTTTTAACATCACTCAACACTTTTCTTTACCCCTCTATATACCCTTCCTAATTTTCTGGAATGTAAAAGCAATAAAATTCTCTCCTTTTTAAGAGAGGGAGATTTAAAAAAAATATCCTTCTTAGAAGCCAACAATGACCCTTCCTATTATTCTCACAAAAGAGGCTTGAAATATTACACATGGTGCAGATCTCTTCTAAAGAGAGCAACAGATGTTAATCATATTATAAACTTGGTGGCAGCTGTTTTCTCATTCTGTACTTGGATTCAGAAATCCTTGGATTTGTTGCTTAGCTTTGAAAATGAAAAGCAAGATCAGGAATGATCATCTTTGATAATCTCTAAGATACTGCCTGGCTATAAACCTGGTATATGACCATCTAAATAAAATGAATAACATAAGCATGAACACAAGACAATCACCACACTATACAATTACAGAAAAAAATCTGCCTAGGTAAAAATCAGCACTAATATGGCAAGGCTACCTCTTCGCAGTTTGAAAAGGGAACTACTTTGCTTGCGATTCATTGAATGGTTATTGAATTCTGCTCTCTCAAAGTCCTATACATGTACCATAAAATTGAAAAGGAGAATGTTCATGGGGAGGAGCAGGATAGAACACCTCTCCCATCCTTGGTATCACTGGTCCCCAACATGCTCCCCCACAAGGTGAGCACAGTCAATTGCTAAATTTCACAATTATTTTTACCCACCCAAAATGTTAAAAAGCACTGCAAAAAAACCTGTAAAAGCAGGATAACAACATCTTATACAACAAAATAAAAAGAATATACCTAGGGTATGCTAATATGCTATCGAAGTGGGATAAAGAGATATTATAATCTCTCATTTGTCTTCTGAAGATACCAAATTATAAACAGAAAAGGGGAAAATAAGATTTTATGTGATCCCCCCTCATCCCTGGACTGTGGCTCACTGTGCTTAAAAGGCTCTTCCAGTCTTCACAGAGGAGCTTCAGGACAAATGAAAGGCTGATTGAGGAAGAAAAACATC